CTTTTACAACTCAGTAACAAAGAGACTAATAACCTAATTTTTTTAATGGACAAAAGAGTTGAGTAAAAACTTAACTAAATTAGAGGTACAAACAGCAAAAAAAGTATATGAAAAATGTAAATTAAAACCTCAATAGCATACACTGCACAGCCACTAAAATAACAAAAATCACTAGTTGGCACAATGATTTGAATCTGGAACCCTCATACATTGGACTGATGGGGATGTAAAATTTATCGCCTCTTGAGGAAAGCTTGGCAGTTTCTTAAAAAATTAAACATACACTTATATGAATCAGAAATTCCACTCCTAGGAATCTACCCAAGAGAAGTGTTCACTCAAAGACTCAGACATATTTGTTTAGAGTAGTACTTATAGCCAAAAACTGGAAATAACCCAAATATCCACCAAACTGGTGAACTGATAAACAAAATAGTTTATCCATCTAATGGAAAGTTACTCAGCAGTAAAAAAAAAAAAAGAAAGAAAGAAAAATGCATGAACTCTATAAATAGAACATGTATGAATCTCAGAATAATTAAGCCAAGTGAAAAAAGCTAGACAAGAAGAGTATATTCCATTTTTGTATGATTCCATTTATATAAAATTCTAGAAAATGCAAACATCTATACAGTTGACCCTTGACCAACACAGAGGTTAGGGGCACAACCCCCCCTCACAGTTGAAAATCCATATACAACTTTTGACTCCCCAAAATCAACTACAGTCATCCTTCTTGGGAAATTGGTTCCAGGACATACACACACACAATCTGCAGGTGCTCAAGTCCCTTATGTAAAATGGCATAGAATATTGTGTACAGTTGGTCCTCCTCCACATCTGTGGTTATTAGAATCCGTGGACACGAAACCCAGGTATATGGAGGGCAACTATATATTTATTGAAAAAAATCTATGTATAAGTGGGCCTGCCCAATTCAAACCCATGTTCAACGGTTAACAGTAATGACAAAAAAAAAATCAGTGATTACCTGTGATGTAGTGCTCAATGACTATAAAGGGGAATGAGGAAACTTAGGTAAGGAGGAATGGATATTTTCATGATCTTAGTTGTGATGCTTTTAAAGTATATATTAAAGTCAAATTTTATTAACTGTATACTTTAAACATGAACAATTTTGTATGTCAGTTATACCTCAATAAGTAAAAGAACTACTAAGATGTGCAACATGAATGAATCTCTCAAAAATAATATTCTATGTGAAAGATGCCAGGCACTAAAAATTATATATTATACAGTTCCATTTATATGAAATTTCTAGAAAAGGCAAAATTATAGAGCTAGAAAGCAGATCAATGGTTGGCTAGTTCTGGGAATGAGAGTGGAGAGTGAATGCAGACAGGAACAAGGGAGAAGACAGGCAGATGGAGGGATGAAAGGGTTCTAAAATTGGATTGTGGTAATGGTTGAGCAATTTTAAAAATTTACTAAAACACTTTGAATACGTAAATTGGTGAATTCTATAATATATAAATTTTACTTAAATAAAACTATTTAAGTAAGCCAAAAATGTTTAGCTTACTGAATTGGCAGCAGTTTTTTAAAAGATAATATTAATTCAATAACTATTTGCGTTGATACTGTATAGTAAGCAGTGTTGGGTAATGATGAACACAGACAGGATTCCTGCCTTAGCAGGGAAAACAGACAGATGCAATTAAAGAGTCTTAACTATTCTCCCATAGAGGAAGCACACTGCAGACACCCTCACTCTCGGCTCACTGTGCAGTAAGACAAGCACTTTCACACATTGCAAATTGGCCCAAGCTCCCTGGAAAGTAATTTGACGATATGTAGCAATAGCCTGAATTTATATCTGTTGACTACCAATTCTAATTCTGGGTGTCTATTGTAAATAATTAGAAATTTGGATAGAAATTATTCATCCAAACAATTGGCACTGGTCACAGGTAATTAAAATTTAAAAATTCAAAGCAACACAAATATACAATAATTGAGTGGTTAAATAAGTCATGGTATCTAACTATCACATTATGCAGACATTTAAATTTTGTGCTTGTACATAAACATAAATGGAGAAATCACATTTGCAAAATTGTTTGTGATATAACCTCCATAGTAAAAATGTGTTTACCTGTACACGCAAGCTAAAAGGTTCCAAAATACTAATAGTGGTTAACTCTGAGCTGTGGATTTTAAGTATTTTGGCTTTTTATACTGTTTTATAATTTATAAAGTTGATCTAATGAACTTGTATTACTTTAATAAACAGGAAAAAGAAGTTATTCCCCTTTATCTCTTTACATAGGTAATATGTATTCACTGCAGCAGAGTTAGAAAATTGTGATAAAAACTTCACCTTTAGTCTACCACTCAGAGACAGCCTGTCTTATCATTTAGGAGTATATCTTTCTAGACATTTCTATGCAAATAGTAAGTAATTTGTTTTACAGAAATGGAATTTATACTACATATTGTTTTGTAATCTGCTTTAAAGGAGGGATAGCCCTAACCGGTTTGGCTCAGTGGATAGAGCGTTGGCCTGTGGACTGAAAGGTCCCAGGTTCAATTCCAGTCAAGGGCATGTACCTTGGTTGCGGGCACATACCCAGTAGGGAGTGTGCAGGAGGCGGCTGATCGATGTTTCTCTCTCATCGAACTCTCTATCCCTCTCCCTTCCTCTCTGTAACAAATCAATAAAATGTATTTTAATAAATAAATAAAGGAGGGATAAAATAGAGATAGCAGGCCTAAACACTTAAAAGTTTATTAGTCTAAAAAAGTGGTTCTCAACCTTCCTAATGCCGCGACCCTTTAATACAGTTCCTCATGTTGTAGTGACCCCCAACCATAAAATTATTTTCGTTGCTACTTCATAACTGTAATTTTGCTACTGTTATGAATCGTAATGTAAATATCTGATATGCAGGATGTATTTTCATTGTTACAAATTGAACATAATTGAAGCATAGTGATTAATCACAAAAACAGTATGTAATTACATATGTGTTTTCCGATGGTCTTAGGCGACCCCTGTGAAAGGGTCGTTCGATGCCCAAAGAGGTCGCGACCCACAGGTTGAGAACCGGTGGTCTAAAAGAGAAACTGATGGCAGTTTAAGAGAATAAATAATTGGCACAAGCTAAAGTTTTTTCGAGCTGTGGTAGTGCTCAGAAAAAGTGCCAGTGTGTGGAGAGGGGAGAGGCAAAGCAAAGGGATGCAGACAGAAGTACGGGTGAGGGGTCACGAGAGGAAATGTAGAGACCAGCTGCAGCGAAATTCAACCCGCATATATAAGAGGCTTCTGCTGGCCACCCCTCTTCTCATGTTGTGGGAGATAAGATAAGGCTTACACAGCGCATATGTAGGTGATGAGGTCCCGAGGGGAGAGGAGGAGTCTTACAATAGTCACAGCCTGTAGGATGAGCTCTAGGATGGCAACAGAGGAAAAGGACTCTTTACAGTTGTTAATAGCTGTCTGACATGGTTCAAAAGCAATACCAGAACCAGAATCCCAATGCTATACCACCTAGAGCTTCATCATAAAAGGAACTTACAAGGAAATCAGAGTGAGTCTGCAAAAAGAAATTATCAGACTCAAATATTAGAAAGGGAATAAGAATGCCAGTCCCATGGAAAGAGCAGAGGCTTAGGAGCCAGACAGATCTGGTTCTACCTACCACTCACCAGCTGGGCAGGTTACCTGACTCCTGAGGCTCAGTTTCAGAAGACACCAGCAACTACCTTCCTAGGTGGTTGTGAGACTCTAAGATAATATACATAAACACCTGGCACATAGATACCTGATAAATAGTATCTATTACTACTATTACTGCCCTTGCATGGGAAGAGATGCAATATAACATCATGGATAAGAGCACAGAATTTAGAGGTAGACACCCTCATAAATTCAAATCCTTGACATATCACTTACTAGCTTTGTGATCCCAAGCATCCAAGCCTCAACATCCCCTATATGACAATGAGGATACCACCTGCCATACTAAACTATTTTAAGGATTAAATAAGACAATGTACAGGGTGGGGCAAAAGTAGGTTTTCTGTGTTTCACATACAACTGTAAACCTGCTAGTGCCCCACCCTATTAATTATAATATCTTTATATTATACCCTTAGGCATAGTGCCTATTTAACCAACAAATAATTACAACTACCACTTCTATGATCTTGGCCACACTGCATAACCCCGCTGAACTAGAATTTTTTTTTTAATTGATTTTTTACAGCGAGGAAGGGAGAGGAACAGAGAGTTAGAAACATCGATGAGAAAGGAACATCGATCAGCTGCCTCCTGCATACCCTCCACTGGGGATATGCCCGCAACCAAGGCACATGCCCTTGACTGGAATCAAACCCGGGACCTTCCAGTCTGCAGGCTGACGCTCTATCCACTGAGCCAAACCGGTCAGGGCTGAACTAGAATTTAATCAGCTGTAGCATTAGCATTCCACTACCTACCTTGTTCCCCTCATTCCCAGAGCACAGAACATGGCACATAGTTGGCACAATAAATATCTGTTGCATGAACTGGACTGTACTGAGAGTTAGAGATAATGTATAAAATATAAGTGTCTGGCATACAAATGCTGGGGGGCGGGGGGGTAAAGGAGGGAACAGAGCTATTTGTCTTTCCATCAGAACACGGGCTCCTCCAGGGCAAAGAACCTTTGTTTTTTTCATTTTGTGATCCCAGCCCCTGGCAGACGGTTAGAGATGTGGAAGAGCCTCAGCAGATGTTTACTGAGTGGCACTAGAGGCAGCAGTAATCCAGCAGCTGCCCTTCTACAAGGAAAACTGCAGGCGTTCTGATGACTTGACCTTCCAAAAACAACTTGAAATTCTCCATCTACTTTACCATCTAACAACAGTCATAGGTAGCCTTGTGCCAACTGTCTGTACTTCCTAATTCAAGGCTGGTACTTAGGTCATGTCTCCAATAACTAACCTGTTAATAACTCCAGATTTCAGTGAGGTGAAAGAGTGCCAAAGGTTTCCATAGGTATGAGAATGCAGGCATTGTGATCATTATATCCAGCACCACAACATGATCACAGCATACAACAGAATTTGTATAAATTCAGCTAAGCTAATGAATGGTCATAGTGGAAACCAGAAAGACAGGGTATCAGTTACATAAATTTTTTCAACTAGATGTATCACCTATATGAAGACAACAGGTTATGACACCAAATTTATCATTAACATTTTTAGGATTTCTACAATAAAAGTAATTAAAAATCATGTAAAACAGGCTAAAGGGTCCTCCAAGTTGCTATCTTAAGAAACTGAGATCTGCAATATCAGAAACAAGCTTTGATTACTTCAGATATTTAGTTGAGGTTTTTACATTACCTTAAAAATACTTTCTTACAAGATATTCTGGTATTTCACCAACAGTTTTACCTTTTATTAACCTAGATTAATGTAATTATTTTTATTCTGAGAGTCTTCATCTGATTAGTAGAGAAGTACAGGTTTGCTGCTGGAAAAAAAATGGAAAATGTAGAAGTTAAAGTCATTCTTGGTTCAGTCATCTAGAGATAACCATTATTTACACTTTGGTATATTTCTTTTTGCCATTTAATGTTACATGTCTTTCCATCAGAACATGGGCTCCTCCAGGGCAAAGAACCTTTGTTTTATTCATTTTGTGATTCTAGCACCTGGCAGACAGTTAGGGATGTGGAAGAGCCTCGCAGATGTGTTTTCATAAACATGACTGTCAGTGCTTCAGGGTACTCTCAAGCAATAACTCACCCATTTCTCCATTATTGGACATTTAGATAGTTTAGAACTGTTTTTTAATTTTTAATGGTGGGTTTTTTCCTTTATATTAAATGTAGACTATATAGAATTACTCTTTGTAAGAATTCCACACTTACTTCCATTAGCACTGGAAAATAAGGCGCTATAGGCAAAGAAGGCCAGCCAAAAACCCACCGGAGCAATCTTCCAGAATGTAGCTAGTGAAAGTCAAGTCTGGAGCAGGGGTTGTGTGGAGCCTTGTGTGGAGCCTGACTGTCCTCAGTGAAGTGGGAGAATTCAGCAGAGGAGCAGGGATACTGGGGGCAGAGGAGGGAGGTGACAGCATTTTATGTGTATATTCGGGCCTGGGAAGAGAAAAAGAAGGAATAACAAATTAATATGCCAAAGTAGAATAGTTCTGAGTCATTTTTTCATAATGCTCAGTAAACAGCCTTTATGTGGACCTTAAATTATTAATACGATGTTTTCATTTTTTCTGCATTCAACAAATCAAAGCCCAATTTTAATTTATTTCAATAGATATTCACTGGTACCCACTCTAGGCCAGGCAGTGGTTGATAACAGAAATGAATGAAACCCTATCACTTCCTTCAAGTTCATAATTAGATCATATTTAAACTTGTATTTGACTGTCTACATCCCAAATAAAAAAAGGATGACCCTGGGGAACTATAAGAGATCCTCAGCCATCAAAAATGAAGTGATATCAACTTTCTGAGGCAGGAAAATGACTGGCACTGGCACACATTAGGAAACTTTAACAACAGTTAAAATAAAAAACTCCCTAGTCATTGAATGGGTCAGCAGGGAAATTCATTAGCCAAATATTTAACTTGCCAAGTATTTCAGCTAATCCACCTTAAATCAGTAGCTGTTTTTAATTTAAAAGTATAAAGGTAAAATTCATCTACTACTATTTCTAAAGCATTATAGACTCCATATTAGAGATCTACTTAAAATTTTATTCTATGCTTATAGCTACCGTGTTAGATTTCCTCAGACAAGCCCTAAATCAACTATCCTATCTCTTTGCCACTGAAAAGAATCAAATCCCAAAACTGGAATCAAACTACAACTCCCAGACAAAAACCTGAAACTGCATACAAATCCTTTGTCAGACCACATAAGAGCCAGTCGTTATTTCCGCTCTTTCCAGCTGTTTTAAGTTTGCCCAGAAAATTGCTCATCTGAAAGGGAAAACTTAGAGAAACAGGTTTCTAAATGCAGTCTTATTGCTAGCAAACACACGTATAAACCATTGTTCTCCCTTATGTTAACAATACTATGTTTATACTAAAAGAATTTGTAAATATGACAACTAGGATTTCCAGTGAACTATTTGTGAACCCTATGAATTCTGCTTTATTTTTTTTAACGCTTTACTCATTAAAAATGATTAAATTAACAGAATACTTCATAAAATTACCTTCATTGGAACTCAGAGGAATCCCAGTGACCTACCAATAAACCTGAAAGAGGTCATTTAGCAGGAAACTAACTCTCTCCCCCAAGAATTCCTGGGGAGCAGGATAAAGATTAAGGCTCTTCTAGTTCTGACTTTAGTGACTTCAAGATCACCTCTGCCCCTTCACCATTTTATGATTCCAGGCTTCCCCAACAACTTGACATATCATTTTACAAGAGCATTAGGACATCACAATTCATTCAACAATTCATTTTAAGCCGCTAGTGCCAGGTATTACAGTATAGCCCAAGGATATTGATGAGTTACAAAATGGACACTTTATAGTCCAGTGGGGGAAGACAGCTATTTGATTATACAGTTATGAATGAAACAAATAGGGTGAACCAACAATGGAGAGAGGCTTGCAAGGGTGCTGAGGGAAGAATTTCCTGAGGAGGTGATGAGAACTTTAAGAAAGAAACAGTTGTGCAAAAAGCAGGGAGTAAAAATGTCCTAGGCAGAGGGAAAAAATATGTGCAGTGGCTCTGAGACAGGACACAAACAGTGTATTAAGAACACTTTAAAAGGCCAGTGTTGCTGGAGTATAGTGAGCAACAGAAGGAAATGTGGTTGGAAAAATTAGGGAAACTATTGAAAGAGTTTAATAAGGACTAATGTAATCCCCTTACATATTTTGAAGCTTGCTATGCTAGATTGGTAGAGGTGCAAGAATAGAATCAAGGAGACAAATAAGGAAGCCATTACGGATATCTAAATAATGGTGGTAGCTCAGGTACTGGGAATCAGGAACTTTTAAATGACAGCTCAGATTTTAAAATGAGCACAAGTAAACCAAAGGGGGAAGGGCACTGCAGGACACTGAAAAACCTGCACAGTAGCATTAGGTCCCAGACCATAACCCATTCTGACATAGTAAATAGCCTAGTATGGCAGTAGCAAAGGGTTTATGACAAGAGTGAAAGCCGGAAGACTACTGTTAGAAAACTATTGCAGTAATCCAAGCATGAAAGTATAGTACCCTAAACAAAAATCAGTGCTAATGAAGAAGAAAAGGCAGGACTATATCCGTGTGATACTGAAAGTGGTAGAAGAGATTGGCTGGATTTGAAGAAGGGAGGGGACAGGAAGAGGGAAGAGGAATTTGGGATGGCTAGGTTTCTGGCTTTGAGTGGGTAGGACTGTGAGAAGGGTAAGTTCAGGTTTGTATAAGCTCTCACACCAGAAGAGCCATGCATGGTGGTTTCCAGCTTAGGAAGAGGCCGAGGCTGGACATGCACATTTAGAAGCCACAGATGAACAAGCCATGACAAAGGCTGATTACCGGGAAAGTACTTAGGAGAAGAGCTTAGTCCAGAACCCTGAGATGCACTGACACTAAAAGCTCAAGTGTTAGAGCAGGGTTTATCCACAGCAGCATGATGTTTTAAGCTGAATAATTCTGTTCTGAGGCATCTAGCACATTGTAGGAAGTTTAGCAGCATCCCTGGACTGTACCCACTAGATGTCAGTAGGACCCACCCCATTGTGACAATCATATCTCCACACATTGCCAAATGTCACCTGGGGGTGAGGGGAGGGAACCACTCCCAGTTGAGAACCACTGAGTTAGAGTCGTCTCCAGAACACTAAGAAGGACACTGACAATAGGTTCTGAGTGAGCTCCCTCAATCCATGAGATTCCTCCCATATCTCTCTGTGCATGGTACTGCTCTTGGTGCCTTGAAAATGCAAAAGAAATGGTAACATTCCAGTCTAACCAACCTTCAGGGCATTGGAATATCTTCATGTACTAGATTGTATCAGATCCATTGCTGGAGCCCAGCCCGTGTGGCTCAGTGTTTGAGTGCCGACCTATGAACCAGGAGGTCATGGTTTGATTCCCAGTCAGGTTGCAGGCTCGACCCCTAGCAGGGGGCATGCAGGAGGCAGCCAATCAATGATTCTCTCTCATCATTGATGTTTCTATCTCTCCCTCTCTCTTCCTCTCTGAAATCAATAGAAAATATTTAAAAATAAATAATCCATTGCTAGAAATCACATTTCTGGTATGAGGCTATAGTGGGGAGAAGTATGTATTTTTATAAAACTTTTATTCACAAATGACATACACACAAAAATTGTGACCCTGCCCCCAATATAGGATTGTGCCACCATCCTATCACTTCTCAATCATGAGAATAATACCTGACATTTTCCAAGAACTTATAATTTATAGGCTCTCTCACCTAATCTTCACTCAGCCCTTATGATAGGAACTGCTGTTATTAACTGAGGAAACTGATGCAGAGGGGTTAATAAGCAACATACCCAAAGTCACATTAAGTGATCAAACTGAAATTAGAACCTCCAAAGTCCATGCTCTAAAGCTAGACCACTTAGCCACTATTCCAGATGGCCTCCATTTGACTGTAAGGAAGGCGCTGCTTCAGTCCTTTTCATCATTTGTATTTCTAGCACTTGGCTCATGCTTAGCAACAGGAGCTAAAATATTTACTGAATGAGTCTAATCTAAGGTCAGACTTAACTCTTTAACTTACTCCCAGATCTGCACTGAGGTGTTTAAGAAATTAAGAGCTCACAGACAGCAGCAACCACAGTGTGTAACACTGCATTGCTAGAATTAACTTTTGAGAATTGCATTCCCAGAAATGGAGTCTCTACCATCAGCCCTGCTTCACTTCCCATGTTTTTGTCCTCCTTATCCAGCATTGTGAGAGGTGAGGAGGGGTGGAAACAGAAATTAAGTATGTACTGGAGTATTTTTGCAAAATGACTAAGTTGTAATTTTTTAAAATAACTTTTGATAGGATCAAAAACTGATACTCAGGGAGAAGTTTTCCGAAGATCAAATAGCCTTTTTTTTTCCTTTTTTTAAAGCCTCTTTTCAAAAATGTTTTAGAAAGTTGAGCAGGTGCCACCTAAGGGGTATACCTGCCTCAGCATATTTTCCCTCACTAGTCAGCCTTGGTACTTTTTGTAAAAGGACTATTAAGTACAGAAATTTCTGCACAAATGTTGTAAAAAGCCCATGCAGAGAGTAACAAAACTAAGCCAGTTATGTCAAGTACTACAAGAGACTTTGCTCATTGATCATGTGTATTTTTCTGGGCTCAGGTGTAGCCTGAGAATGTTTATCATTTTAATGCTTCAAGCCACCATCACCCCCAAGAGATAAAATATGTCATTCCTGCCTAAAGCCACCCTCAGGGGTAGCCTGGAGGATATGGAACAGGGGGGTGAGGGTATCAGTAAAAGGGGAGTTAGCAGAGGGAATATGTTGTGTTCTACAAAGAATGGCTTCAGTCTATTCCATGTACACACTTGCACAACTAAATGTACTTCTTGCAAGCCATGCAGCTATAAGCAATGTGAGTTAAGAAAGTTCCCCACTTTGCATGGAAAGCATTCATGAAAAGCTCAGACTTTATGGACCTCACACCTTCCCTAACCTAGCTGGAGCATCATTCAGAACATTCATTCCTACCAGGCTCCTAAGGAAACCTTTTTTTTTTTTAAATTTTTCTTTAATCCTCACACAAGGATATGTTATTGATTTTTTGAGAGGGGGAAAAACATCAGTTGGATCTCCAACTGAAGATTGAACCCACAACCTATGTATGTGCCTTGTGAATTGAACCTGCAACCGAGATATGGGATGATGCTCCAACTGAGCCACACGACCAGGGTGGGAAACCTTGATACAGCACATTTTCAACAAATTCTAACATGAATTTGGGCTTTAAAGAACATATTTTCTCTTCCAGAACAGTCTTCACCAGGGGGACTCAATTGTTTATAGCTGCCATTTAACAGCTTTTACAAGCTGGTGCTCAGTCTCTAGTTTACAATATTGACTTCTACCCACTTTCTTTTAAAAAATCAGTAAATCACTTTTGCTGTTTCTTTCAGTTCTTTTGAAGATTATGAAACAGAGGAACCTGCCTCTCCCTCTGAAATTGGAAACAAAGGCAATAAAATAGCAACCTCAAGCCTTCCTGAGAAATGTGGAAAGCTTCAGTCAGTGGATGAAGAATAGTTGCCAATGTCTATAATGAAAAGGAGATATGTATTTTAAATGCTTTTTTTCTTGTGAAGAGATGCTTTAGTTTGCAAACTGCTTTTTAAAGGCTTTGATTTCTGCAAGTGTGTATTGGCACTGGGAACTTTAAATTTTTAAGCAATAGGTCTGGATATACACACTCAATTTGCAAGACTACTCCAGTTTGCCTCAAACCTCTTACAGAGATTTCCTTAGAAGCAATTACAATGATATACATCACCTTCCAAAGTCTGTGAACCAGCACTCTTCACCCTGAATGTACCAAGGATCTCTTGGGGACAGTGTCAAGCACAGTAATAAGGAGTTGCCTGTGTTGTCCAGCATCCCTGAGGCCCCTCAGGGTTCCTGTGGAGCCCAGAAGAAACTTTCACTTGCAGAAAACTTGAGTCAAAAAATTCTGGAACTTGAAAAAGCATTAAGGGCCTCCAGAACTGAATTAGCCCTGGTAATAAAAGCACTGCCGAAACATCTCAGAGACTTCTTTTAATTATGTGTGTACTGGAGTTCAAAGATCTTGAACTTACTTGGTTTAATGTATTATTTCACAATGACCTGCCAAACTGCTAGTCACTTTACATCCTCAGGTATTGTAACCACTGGGCCTTCCAACTTTGCTGGCAAGCTCTGAATAATCCCTTCCCCATCTTGACTGTGGGTCTTAAATAAAATCTAAAGAAAAAACTTCTTACATGAAAGTAAGTACAGAATTTGATTCATACTTGAAAAAAAGTTTCCTCTTAACTCATCCACTATTTGTAGAAAATTGAATTAGTCTCTAAATTAGCTGATACCCCATCTATACTTCCTATCAGAAGGCCTTCTTGAAGACTTAATGATATATGAAAACTCTTACTAGACATATTCCTTTCATGACTTAATATCAGACTAATCCAATAGTAAAAGCCTCAATCTAAACATTATTCCTTACTTCATGGTGTAACTATTCCAAATATTCCATCCACTTCAGTATTTATCACAGAAATAGAGGAAAACAGTGATGCCACCCAAAAAAGAAAGCTATTTCATGTACTATAGTGGTCGATGTATTCACTACAGATATCTACATTTGTCAGCAAGTCAGGATGCAGCCAAATCCTGATAACCTTCAAGATAAAACTGAAAATAAACTATAAAAAGGATGGAAATTTCTGACAATATAAAAGACACCAAAAAAAAAACCCAACTTTTTAAATATTCATCTCTGTGAAAAGTCATCAACTTTTCCCCTATTAGTGTTTTAACCAAAAGTCCTGAATGTCAGAATAGCTTTCCTTCTCACCCCGACTTGGTTCCCATGCTGGTGGTTAAGGCCAAATGATGAAATAAACATTTGAGTTGTGGTAGGCAAAAAGTGGAGAAAAGGAATATTAGGAAATGTACTATCAACTGGTGTAACAGCAATCCTTGTCAATATACTCTGTTTCTTGTTATTTTATCTCCATGATCAGAAATGATCTTCCATTTAACTGTTAAAGAAAATGGTAACTATTAAAACTTAATATCTAATAATTCACAAAGTAAAAGCTTAAAAGTGACTATTTGGAGGAAACACTACATGCAATAACCTAAACATACTGATAAATAGGATTAAAAATATTTATGTGGCACATAAAATTTACCATCTATCCCATCCAACCTTTACCAGGAAAGGAAAGCAATTACTTTTTTTTTTTTTTAGAAGCCAGATATGGTTTAAAGGTTTTATTATCCATAATGACCTAAACTATTTCTAAGACTCAGCAAAAAGTAAAAATAAAATCCAATTTTCCAATGTACATTTGATTTTTTTTTAACTTGGCTTTACATTTTTCCCTTGTTTCTTACTAAAGTCCTCTTATTTTCACTTTGGTCAGTATTTGATTTCAAAAAGTCTGTAATTATTATAAAAGCAAGCTACCAATATCATTCCATTTAAGATAAGACTATTTTAATTTAGGTTACCCCAAAGTATCACATTTTCAGACATAAGAATGTGTTTCACTCCTTTTCTAGAGTTGAACGCAAGAAATGTGAATTTGAGGAACTAAGATAGTATGTATTTGACTTCCTGGTAAAGATCATGCTGCATATAATCATTACCGCCCAACTGAAAATTTCAAGTTACAATATCCCAGTCTCCATGATAAAAGTTTCAATTGAAGTTTATCGTAATCCTAATGCTAGTCAATGAAAAAGTGAGTTTCATAGCATAACGTTACCAAAGTAATCAACTAATAAAATTCTATGTATTTTCCCTGCACCTTATCTATGTCATTGTATACGGTTCAAAGTGTTTATAAAACTCTATACTGATTAAATGAGATAAGTCATTTGCTCAACTTTTGGAAATGTTAAGGTATGTTTGAATAGAGAAGCCTGCATGACTTAACTTTTGTTTTTATTTTCCCTTTTACGAAAATTAAATAAAGACAAGTTGTCAAATATGAATTCCACTAAGATAATCACTACATACTGTGCTTTTAATCACACTTGAATTCATTTTTATGTCTGAGTAACATTGTAAACAAGCTTGAGTTTCAAAGAGAATAACTCTTTGAGCCCCCTGAGAAAACGATAAAGATCTGTAAGGATAACACCTCAAAATGAGAAGTGATTTCCTCTGGGGGATGGGAAGAACAGGGTTTGGGAATGAGAGGTTCACAGGGATCAAAGAGAACTTTAGTCTTACATATAATACATTCTTTTAGAAGAATATGTAATTGATTATTTAGGTACCTAAAAATACTTTTTAAAAGGAGGGAAAGCCCGGCCTGTGTGGCTCAGCTGTTGAGTGTCCACCCAGGAACCAAAAGGTCGCTGGTTCAATTCCTGGTCAGGGCACATCAAGGATTATTGGCTTGATCCCCAGTAGGGGGGATGCAGAATGCAGCCGATCAATGATTCTCTCTCATGGTTGTTTCTCTCTCCCTCTCCTTTCCTCTCTGAAATCAATATATATATATATATACACACACACATATACACACACTAAACATTATTAAAGGGAGGAAGAAAAGTTAAAATACCATCCAAGTGTTAGATTCCAATACCATACTTTGAATTTAGTATTTTTTAAAGCATTTTATATTTGTTACTATGATATGGGGAAGGAAATTTTACTTTTCATATGTTGTAAGACTTACTTTTCTTCCACAAGGTCACCGCAGAGTTGTTTTAAGCAAACTAGATAGAACACAGTAAAATAAAAGGAATTCTTACCCTTACACCTCAGCATGAAAATGTACACTTAATGAAACTAACAAAGGGATAAACTCTCAGCTCTAAAATTTCTATTACCTAAGATGAAAGATCATTTGATCACTTATGTTAATAACAAAGACTCAAAAAGAACAAGTGAAAACATGTCATATTAAATGCTGTTATTATTTTGGTAGTATCAAATCCCGATGAAGTAAATCCAGTTACTTCAGTAATAATTTCTTAATCATCCCTAGTTAGCCGTAACTCATGGTATAAAGGAAAACAATGTAAAAATCAAGGCACTGTATTACTTCCCCAAATGTATATAATATAGGCCATTCAGAGCATGCTATCCCAAACTTTTCAGTATTCTACAACATAGAATTAGAAAACTAACATTTATTGATAGATTTAAAGTGTAATACAGGTTTCCAAAATGTGGCAGTGTGAATACCAGCATAAAAAAGAGAAACTTGTGCTAAAAACAACCTGAATTCATCATTGGCAATATTACATAACAATCAAGGCCCTCACATACTAAAGACTTCCACTTTTTCTATATTGCCAACCTCCCATGCATCAAAAAACATAAAACTAAGATTATCAAACTTGGGAAGCAATAAGGTACTCTATGACTTTTAAGATCATAATATTAGGAAAGATTGGGAGTTTGCAAAATATATCCTAATCATCCATGTATACAATCTCATTTCTAGTCATTTTTGCAGTGATCATTAATGAATAAAGAACAGATTTACAAGTTTATATATATAGCAGGGCATCTGGGTTCAACACAAAACTGTTACAAACTTTAGGCAAATACATGTTTCATGAGACACTAACACTTGAGGAATTAAATAAAATTCCAAAACTTGGAAAGCAAATAAAGACAAGACAACTAAGAAGCATTTTCCACCATTTACTCTTGTTATCAAAAATAGTTCAACTCTTCTTGCAAAACAAAACAAAATAGTACATACTGGACACATACATCACATTTTTCTTCCTATGGCTTTAGCCCACCCCCACCCCGAGACACTAACACTTGAGGAATTAAATAAAATTCCAAAACTTGGAAAGCAAATAAAGACAAGACAACTAAGAAGCATTTTCCACCATTTACTCTTGTTATCAAAAATAGTTCAACTCTTCTTGCAAAACAAAACAAAATAGTACATACTGGACACATACATCACATTTTTCTTCCTATGGCTTTAGCCCACCCCCACCCCACCAAGAGACCAAAAAAAAAAAAAAAAAAAAAAAAAAAAGCTCAACAAGAAAAACAACTCTACCTGACCACATTCACAGAAAATGACACCAGGATACACTACAAAACAGAAGGAGGTGTCATCTGCTCTGTGTCCAAGGTTTCTTCTCCATGTCTTGTCCTAGGTGAGTAACCATCATTGAACATGCTGTGTGCCAAATCAAAACGTAACTTCAGCATATGTCAGATCTCACGAGATGGTGAACGTAAAAATTGGAAGTTTTCCAGCAGTATTTTTCTTTAAATAAGCACTGTCAAAGCAGCAACTCTTCTTTTAAATCATAAGGTCATTTCTTTACAACCTAGTCAGTCCTTGTTTTATTTGGGCTGTGCTCTTTCAAGCAACTGACCAGACTTCCCTTCAACAGAATGTTTGTGACTCACTTGTCTTCCCCATAAAAATTAAAGGGAAGAAGTGCATTTAAACTGAAACATAGTTTGTGCTTTACATGCAAAAGAGCATTCTAAAGAAAATCATCCTAGCTTCAAACCTACCTAAATGCAGAGGATTCATTAAAAAAGGCATTTTTATTAGGCCTCTATATAGAAGCCTTCATAACAAATAGCACCCTAAAAAAAAAAAAGCATATTTAAAATAGTCTGTGGCAAACTATTCGAGGAAACAAAAAATCAAAGTGGCCAATAGCAGTTAAGTATAATGCAAAAATCTGGATACATTTGGGGGCATTATTCCAAAATTATTTTAAATACATCCCAATTTCTAAATAAAACGTTTACATATTTTTAATTGTCACATACTATAATCTAAACTCAATCAGCTTCAGAATAAAACTGCTCTTCTCCACTTCATTTATCTAATTAGAACATTGCGCACAGTGAAGAAAGGATCAAGAATTTTTTCCCTAGAAATAAGTCAGACTTCACTAAAAAAAGGAGCTCAACTCACAAAATTTCGGTAGCATAAATAACTAAACATAGGCAGTCTGACAGAATTTCAGTTTGTTCACCTTTAAAAGACAGATTTCTTCAACATTCTAATGAGGGGCAAATTTTCTTTCATAATACTGCTGATTTAAGAACTGCTACATACACCAGTAGCCAATTTTCATGATCAGAAATGGTATTGTCAGCATATAGATTGAGCTGGACACATCAGCTTTTCAACAGGAGAAACATCAATGGCATCTGAAGATAGCAAGCACTGAGTCTCCTGAACAAACAATGGCTATGTTTCACAAAAACTTAGCACAATCTTTATGGACTGACTAGATACCACTTCCTTACATTTAATCATAAACTTTGATTACGCACAAAGCATGACCATAAACAATGAGGTTAATGTTATCTTCCTTGCCAAAGTTCATTTTGTATAAATCAGTTGCATCAGCATTTGTTCTCAAACTATGAGGTTCTGTAAGAACTAAGGACATATAGTTGTAGGGTTACTCCTCCATTATCTGCAAACTATTTCCCCGACACTAACACATATAACTTAGCAATGAAAACACTTGATACAAGTGATCTATATGCAGGAGCTCCGGCAAGTTAAACCAACAAAACCATAGCTGCCTTAAACTGTAGCTATTTCCCTACCAGAGGCAGGTTTAAAGACCCACTGATTTAACAGTCGAATCTCATGTCTATAGCTTCATCCAAACTTTTATCATCATGGGTACTGGCAGCTAAAAACGTCGTTACTGGGGACCCTGTGACATTAATTACACTGGTGCTGGTACTAGCATTGCGCACAGCAATGCTAGTCACATTAATGCCCAAAGTGAGCCTGGTCTGCTCCAAGGCCTTTTCTGGCACAGCAAATGCCTCCAACTTCTTCTCCCCATTGGCCATATAGGAGTTTTGGCAGCCACGACATATACAATCTAAGCAGGCTTTGCGGTTAGAGTAGCAAGGGCAGCGTTGGCCGCGGCATGTAAGAACACTTGGATTTTGAGTAGCACGCCCACATTTACACCCTTTCTTTTCCTGGGTTTTTTTACACACAGTCTTGGTAGGACTTCCTGGCATAAAATGATGACTAGGAATCTTTTCCTTTACTGTTTTGTCTTTTTTAAGAATACCTGGCTTGGTTTTAGAGTGAGATTTCTTGGATCCATGGTCATGACTCTTTTTCATGCTTTTAGTAGATAAAAGTACAGTTTTGCTGATTTTAGGTGTTGTGCCTCCATTGGGAACAGTTGCTATAGGCTGAAGAGAAATTTTGCTCTCCCGTTTCACTGTCACAGGAACAGATGCCCCCAATGTTGGGCCTCGGATAATGGTAGAAATTGGAAGTGGCTGAACTTTCTCACTGTCGCTTTCTGATCTGGATCGTTTTCTATTCAATTTTGCTACCTTCGGAGTTGCTGCTGTACATGATAACCCATGAAGTGCAGGACTGGTGGACATAAAAACATTATGGCTAAGAGACTGGGAAGAAAGCTGCAGAAAAGGTCCATTGGATACATTGGATACTTCCAAATTGGGCTGCAAATTAGGGCAACAAACCTCTGTATTTGAAACAGTTTCTAGGCTGCGGAGTACTTCCTCAACACTCAGTAACAGAGAATCACCAGGTTTTATATCTTCACTGAAACTGCAAATATCAATGCCTGTGGAGCATAAGTCAGTGGCTACCGTGTCACAGACAGGTGGCAAGCTGTCAGACAGATCTTCAGTTTTTATGTCAACAGTGTTACATACATCAATCGTATTTGAATGTTCAGGGGAAGGAATATTTATACCAAATCTATCTATTGAAAGTCCATTATAAATAGGCAAACCATTGATAACAGAACTGCCGATAGCAATGCTGAGGGTGCTTTCAGATATTGGAGATAAACTAGCTTGAGGATCAGTTGTGGGTTCTGAGGTCGAAGGTAAAGGGGAATGTGTCAAAGGCAAAGTAAAGGATGAATCTGAAGGTTTTTCTGTCTCCTCACAAAGCAATGATCCATCATTAAGCAAAGCCAAAATATCAGAAGAACCGTCGACTGCTTCTATTATATCGCGTGCCAATGTAGT